GTGGTCTTTTATCCATCTCGAATTTGCTTTTGTGCATGGTATACATTAGTGGTTTAGTTTCATGCTTTTACATATACCTGTCCAGCTCTACAAGCATCATTTATTGATCCTGCCCCTTTTGTTGAATATTAATTGACCATAGAGATATGAGTTTATTTCTGGGCTCTCTATTCAGTTCCATTGATACATGTATCTGTTCTTATGCCAGTACCAGAATATTTTGATTACAGTGGCCTTGTAAGATTATTTGATATTAGGTATTGTGATTCCTCCTACTTGTTCTTTCTCAAAATTGCAAAGCTATTCCAGGGTCATTTATGGTTCTGCATACATTTTTGAAATATTTGTTCTGTATCTGTGAAATATGTCAATATACATTGAGCTGCTTTTTGATCCAGTGATTCCACTGCTGGGATTATACCCTAAGAATCCTGAGACACCAATTCAGAAGAACTTATGCACCCCAATGTTCATAACAGCCTAATTTACAATAGCCAAGTGCTGGAAACAGCCTGAGTGCCTATCAGTAAATGAGTAGATCAAAAAAACTGTGGTACATTTACACAATGAAATACTATGTAGCAGAAAGAAAGAACTCCTACCCTTTGTGACAGCATGAATGGAACTGGAGAATATTATGCTAAGTGAAATAAGCCAGGCAGTGAATGACAAATACCATATGAGCTCACCTATAAGTGGAACCTAACCAACAAAACAAAGAAATGAGCAAAATGAAACAGACATGAAAATAAGGAACAAACTGACAGTGACCAGAGGGGAAGGTGAAGAAGGATAACAGTGGAAAGAAAGGGAAGGGTCTAGTCAAGGAACACATATAAAGAATTCATGGTAATCCACAACAGGGTGGGGACTGACTGAGGAGGCAGGGAGGGGGTAGAAGGGGATAGGGCAGGAGCTACCAAAAGGGGAAAAGTAGGACGACTGCAATTAAACAATAATAAAAAAGGAGAATATCTAGTTTTCTTCTTATTATGTACAGTATTTTATATTATGATTTCAAAAAATGTCAGCAGATTTTGGAGTCTTTAATCTCTTCAATTAAAGTATTATATAAATCACTCGAATAATGGGTCTCTGCCATTTTAATTATAAATTCTAGTAAGTCTTGATTTCCAATTGAGTAAATTCTTAAACTTTGTCATTTGAAATTGTGCTATCCATTTTCAATATTTTGTATTTATTAGAAATTTTTAAATCAGTTCATTGTTTTTCACAAAATCTGCCAGTATTTTGAAAGATATTCTATTGAATCTATAATTTAATTTGGAGTGAATTGACATCTTTATAACACTGAACTGAGTGCTATAATCAATTAATATTATATATCTCAATTTATTATTTTTTTAAAGAATGTTTTTAATATTTTACTGGAAGGATTTTTTATACATCCTTCATTTATATTGTGGGTATCTTTTTCTTCCTCTAAATTATATATAAAATCACTTCTATGGTTTTGCTAGTGTTCAGAAAGACCTGAGGTTTTTTGTCTATTAACTTTGTATTGATCAGCCTTAATTCACTTATTTGCTCATTGTTTCTAATAGATTGGTAAATTTTCTGTTTATATAACTATGTTATCTGCAAACAATGAGAGTTTTAATTTTCCTTCCAATCTCTATATATTTTATTTATTGTCCAATGACTTATTTTACTAGATAAGATTTCCAGTAAATTCTTGAAAACTAATTATTGAATGACACTTCAGAACATTTAACGATAATTTTATGAGTATTAATCCTTGCCCTGCTGTTTAGGTGAAAGTAGTACAACAGCCATTAAATGGGTCAGGAAATGAAGTTCTGGAGTTGCTTTCATGTTCTCAAAGTCAGATTGCATGTGGGCCAACACTAGAAACTCTATTAAGTAACTGTACTTCTGATAAGCTTCCTTTCTCTATTTGTATCATGATACCTAATTTCAAATTCAATTGGAACTACCTTTTTCTTCTCGTGCTCTTAGTCCGTCTCCTTTTAACATTGATTGAGAATTCCCTGCATAATAAGGTTAATAGAAAATCAATTTTTTTCTACTAAAGGCTACATCTAGAGTAGCCAGACACATTTGATTCTTCACATCTCAAAATTTGTATATGCTCAGCACTTATCTCCATAATACTTTGTATGTACAAAGTACAAGTGTAACATTAACCTTAGTGAAATTTTATGGAATGTCGTTAACACGTCTATCCTGAGGGTCTCTGATTATTATATTAACAGCTATTTTTCACAAGATTAGGTATTGCCATTTCTAATTCTAGTGTGTATAAATCACATAAATATCCCTTTTAGTTCTCTATTTCAATGTTTCCATGTCCAACCATAAAAAGTTAAATACCAAGTGTCAAATAGCTCATCTAATTTTTACTATATACAAAAAGAATAATAAAATATAATTTAGATAGAATTACCATACTTCCATATGATCTGTCTAAGCCCATTTTTAACTACCTGCATGAGCCCCGCTGAGCCATTTTTGATGCTTTATATGGAAATGATTATAGAAGCCATTTGATGTTATTAAATTATATGAAAAAACTCTACATTTTTCTAGTTGATGAATCTCACTCCTGAGTTTCATTTTATTAAACTATAATTATTAGACACTCTGATATTCATAATGGAAAAGCCTGTATCAAATTTTGAGCTCAAAACTAAGCAGTAAGAAGATGAAGTGTAATGGGACAGAGAACTAAAATAGCTATAGGAGTTTCTTTTCATAAGTATCAGTCCATTTAATATCCAAAGCTACAGACATAAAATGAAATTTGAATATAGAGGCTTTATCATGCACATTGAAGTTGACTTTCTAAAAGGTATGATCCTCAGTTCCATATATATTGTATAAATTATGATATATGTATCTATACATGTGTATGTACATACACACATATAGCTATACAGAGGCCCAGCACCAATAACGCCCCTTGTTATTACAACACCTTTTATTATAAAATTATAAATGTGTAATTCTGTAACACAACAATACCACATTCAAGCACAGCATATGGCATTTCAGATGAAATGTTTACATTAAAAATGGAAATTATTAGACCCGTATCATTACCCTACCAACCTCACTCAAGCAGGCCTTACCTCTCCTAGACCCTGTGTATATATGGTATACACACACACACATATATATAAATATAAATATATATATATATATATATATTGCAATTGACATGGTTGCTATCTGATCCTGTTTCCTGTTACTCTGCATTTAGAATTGAACTTCTTAATACCATTTAGGTACCTTCCATAAACCCCAAAGGATGAGTAATTTTTATCATTGAGCACAGATAAGTTATAGTCAATTGCCTATTGAGGGTCCAAAACTGCACACACATCCATCTTGAGCTCTGAATAGCTCATAGACAGTAAAACTCCACAGAGAATATAGCAAAGTAAAAAAATTAAGGACTACAAAACTGTTCATTGCTTAACATATGTTATACATATTAAGTCATTGTTGTTTGTCAAACATTATTTTGTACACGGAAGATATAAGGATGAAAAGTAAAATTCAAGTTTTTGTCTTATGGGATTTATATATTCTTAAAAAGAGAGACAAATATGAATCAACCACACATAGATATAAAGGATATTTTCTTTTTTTCACATGTGCCAAAAATAAGAATATAAGTTGGTATGCTGACAAGAGACTGATGAGGGATTTCACCTTTAGATATAGTGTTGTCAGGAAAGTGAAGCCATAAATGCTGACAAGGAGGGAGCAGTGACAATATCCGGGGGAAGAATGTTCTAAGCAGAAAGAGCACAACAAAAAAAGGCTCTGGTTCAGAATGGACTGCCAATCCGGTATTATCAAGACCTCACCTTCCCCACTGTGACTTTTTACCCATTTCGGTTTAGAATTGTAATGGTTTCCAGGATATACTTATTCAGTAAGAAACAAATCTTAAAATTTTCAAAATAAACTTACTTAAAGCTAGATTATATATAAAATGATAACACATGAAAGGTCCCTATAATTTTATACTAAAATACTGTAGACTTTCTGTAACACCCTTTTTAAAAACAACTTATACATTTTCTGTTTTATGAAGTTCTGATATTTTGCAGATATTCAGGACATTTTGATGCTCTCGCCAGGAAGCATATACAAAATGAAAATAAGGAAACCACATGCAATGAACACCAAGTGTGTCCATCTAATCCCTGCGTGGGCCTTATTTTGTCCATCACTTCCAATAACTATGTGGTTAAAATTGTTTTATGGTTTTTATCAAGGAATATGGTTTACAGAGGGAATGTGACCAAGTTAACAGCTTGGATGAGCAATCATGCACGGACACACATTCAACACAACTCTGAAGCAGGTGGTCTCTGACTTACATTACAGCCTCAAAAGACAGGCCATGGTGGGGGGAAGATGCTCAAGTCCTGGTCCCCACTGGTGTCTCTTGTCTATTTCTGATGACACATTGTTGGCTCTTCTACTTTTGTGACTGGCTCCTTCTTTTTCCAGACTTCTTCTATAAGGATTTTGGAAGCAACACTATGATTGGAACATTTACCAAAAAGAGAAAGCACCAAGCCAGCTCGGAGTGTTTCAATGTGTACATGGATGTCAAATTCAAATATTTTCATCTCTCCCACCAAAATTATCTGGCTTTTGAGAATTGCCAGTTTCTTAAGAGTGAGACATCCTTGTTTTATGTGCAAGTGGATGTTTTAAATTTGTGAAAATTCATTAATTTGTTGAATATTTTAAAAGTAATAATACAAAATAAATATATGTATTTTACCTTAATCCAAGTTTAGAGATGTTCAGGATCTCAACTATGTCTTTATTTAAAAAGACAGGCCAACATGAATATACTATAAACATTTACTACTTAAGTATAACACATAACATGCTAAGTAAATGTTTAATATACTCAATAAATAAACAAATAAAACTGAGTGAATAGCTATGGGGATATAATAAATTATACCTGTTTACATTTAATGCCAAACACTGGAATTTGAAATTGCTAATTAAAAACATTAGTGAATGTCAATACAGCACTATTTTAATGACTCCAGGATAATCCCACAGCAATTAATTTAGATCAGAATGAGTTTATTGTAAAGTGCCAAAGGTGGAAAAAAATGCTTCCTTTGCATTATAAAACTACAATTTCTCTAATGAATAATGCCTGGTCAAAACTTAACTATATAAGTACTTAATTTGCATTTACTAAAGAAACATAATAACTGAGACAATAACTCTTTAGGGAATAACCTGAGTTAACAGTTGATTTAGATAAACATAGTTTTATCTTAACTTCTGAATACACAAAAATATTAATGATACTCACAAATCAGAATAATAACAGCAACAAAACCCAACAATAACAAAGTACATTAACATTTATTTGACAGAAAGTTGGTGGCAATTTCATGGTTGGTATATGCAGAAGAGTTACCAATCTTTAATAAAGAGGTACTTTTATCAATGAATTAAATAAGAATATAAGCTTCAGGTCTTATATTTTAATATCTGGTTTTCCTAGAAGCAGGAAGAGAGTGTCTGTTTTCTATTTGCACTTATAGAAGCAAAGACAAAAATAAACAAATTCATCGTCAGCCAGTGTGGCTCGGATGGTTGAAGCATCGTCCAGTAACCAAAGGGTTGCAGGTTTGTTCCGTGGTCAGGATGTAAGCCTGGGTTATGGGTCCCATTCCTGCTGTGGGTGCGTGGGATCCTCAGCCTGGATGCCTGCGGGAACCGATCAACTGGTGCTTCCCTCGCACATCATTTTCTCTCCTTTTTTTCTTTTTCTCTTCCTCTCTAAAAGCAATGAAAAAAGATGTTCTTGGTAGAGGACAAAAAGTAATAAAAAATGAATAAATTCATGAAGCTTGCTTGTTCCCATGTTATTCCAAAAGGTATAAACATTGCACATCCCCTTCATAACACTGAAAGGGAAAATGCCTGAGAAATCACACTTAAGTCAAATATTCCTCTTTCATTGAATGACTGTTCTAATCTGGCAGGGCTCGTTGGACCACGGTGCTGTCAGTCAGCAGGAGAGTCTTGTGACAAAGGCAGAAACCACAATAGAGTTCTGAGCTGAGCTTAGAGGTGATTTGGAGTCCAAATAGGTCACAGGGTTGTCTAATGTTTTGTGACAATTAAAGGATCCAAAGCAAATATTAACATTAATGAGGAGAAATAAGAATTGTAAAAATATGAAAGTAAAATGTAATAGATTTCAAAAAGGGACATTTTGCAATTCCTCCCATTAGAAATATCTATTTTCTTACCCTCTGCATCAAGGCTGGCTGGTAGTTGGTTTGGTCAGTAGACTATAGGGTAAAGAAAGGATGCAGTGTCAGTACAAAGCATACAACTCAAGAGGTCTTGCAGATATTGCTTTCATGCCTCACAGTTTTATTGCTATGTGACCCAGCCCCCCGTGGTTTGTTAAACATCCCAGTCACCACCATCACTTCAGTAGAAACCTTGCCTTTGGCCAACATATGAAAGTGATCATGGACATACAGGGGTGACCAAACCCCAGCCCATGGGCTCCTTGTATGTAGCCCAGGATGGTTACGAATTTGGCGCAATACAAAATTGTAAATTTAGTTCAAACCTTTCTTTTGCTCATCAGTTTTTGTCAGTGTTTGTGTATTTAATGTGTGGCCCAAGGCTACTCTTCTCCTAGTGTGGCCCAGAGATGCCAAAAAGTTGCACACCCATGAAAGATACCATTCATCAATAAAACTTTCAAATGTCTTCAGATATATGAGTGAATACACTGATAGCTACTAAGCCCAGACCATAAAAAATAGCAGTTTTTAGCTAATGAAATGTCTTTTTAAGATACTAAGGAAAGGAATCAAAAAATAAATAGAATATCCAAATAGTCCAATAACAAGTAAGTAGATTGAATCAGTATTTAAAACTCTCCTAACAAAGAAAAGCCTAAGACCAGATGGTTTCTGTGATCAATGCTCCCAAACATTTAAAGAAGTAATGCCAATCCTTCATAAACTCTTCCAAAAACTTGAAGAAGAGGGACAATTCTAGACTTATTTTATGAGGCCAGAATTACCTGGACATCAAAGTCAGATAAAATACTACAAGAAAAGAAAATTATAGTTCAATACCCCTAATGAATGTAGATGCCAAAAATTCTCAGCCGGTGTAGCTCAGTGGATTGAGCGCAAGCCTGTAAACCACAGGATCACAGTTTGATTCCCAGTCAGGGCACATGCCGGGGTTGCAGGCTGGTTCCCTGCAGGCCAGTTCCCAGCAGGGGATGCACAGAACACAACCGTACATTGATGTTTCTCTCCCTTTCTCCTTCCCCTCTAAAGATAAATAAATAAAAATCTTAAAAAAATTCTCAACAAAATACCAGCATACACATTCAATGGACCTTTCAAGGAATTATAAACTATGATCAAGTGGAATTTGTCCCTGTGACCTAAGGATTGTTCAATACATACAAATCAATACATGTGATATATACCACATTAATAGGATGTAAGACAAAAATTATGTAGTCATCTCAGTAGGCGCAGAAAAACATATGATGGATTTAAACGTTTTCATGATGACCACTCTCAACAAATTGGGTAGAGAAGGAACATACCTCAATGTGATTGACATCCTACATAAAAAGCCCATAGCTATGCCCTGGCTGGTATGGCTCAGTGGATTGAGTGCAGGCCTATGAACAAAAGGATCACAGTTCAATTCCCAGTCAGGGCACATGCCTGGGTTGCAGGCCAGTTCTCAGCAGGGGATGCACAAGAGGCAACCATACATTGATATTTCTCTCCCTCTCTCCTTCCCTTCCCCTCTAAAGATAAATAAATAAAATCTTAAAAAAAAAAGACCACAGCTAACATTATACTCATGGTGAAAATTTAACAGTTTCTTTTTGAAGATCAGGAAAAAGACAAGGGTGCACACTCTTACCACTGAATGTAATATAACATACGGTATAGCATATAATTTTATAGTGTATTATATATTTCATGTAACATATAATATTGTATCTAATAACTAGTACCATGTTATATATTTCTTTTATACCTTGCTCTATTTTCTCTATATATAATGTAATGCACCTAGAATAGAATACAATATACAAGTTACATAACAATATAAACATGATTATTTGTGTACACAGTAGTGTATGCAGACATACACATACGTATATAAACATGAGCACACATACATGCGTATATGTGTACATTATTCAGTCAGGATATGGAAGAAAATAAATGTCTATCCATTCGTTTCTTGAGGATATTCACAGTAAGAATTTCTGAATCTTAACGTTATACACTATCACATTTCAATAAACATACCAGTATAGACTCAGATCTGAAGCAATTAGGACTATCTCCTCTCAACCTTATTGAGGAAAACAATTACTAAGCAAAACATTAGTGTTCTTTCAGTTGTTAAGTTTGTAAAACTGAAAGCTTTGCATTTGATGCAGTTATTCATAAAAACTGTTTCAGGTAAAATGCAACTTAAGGGAGCAATATTGGTATATCCTTTAGGGAAAAAAACACTGTAGTGTAAAAGACTTGAGAAAACTTCATTTACCCATTCCTTATACATTCACGGGTTCTCTCATCAACATTTTCTTGATCATGCAATGTCAGCACCATGTTGAGAGACCTTTCTCTGGAGGAGCTGTTGACATAGTGGGTCAGAGACACATGTGTTTGTAATATGAGAATAGTTGGTATAAGGGCTAAAACACAAAGTAATAGTGTTGTTTAAAAATGTGGGCTTGATGCAAAAATAATGTATAGAGGAAATCCCGACACTGGCTTTGAACTTAAAATAGTGACATTTTTTATGTGAGTAGAACAGGAGAGGACTTCCAGGCCAGAACAATGTTATAAGCTCTTGCTTCCACAGAAAACCTTTGAATATAGTATTTTAAGAAGAGTCCCAACTAAGTCATTTACACGAATTTTCCATTTACTGTTTAAAACATTATTTAAAATGCACACTGGTAAATATATAAAGTAGTAAACATTTCTGATTCGAAGTGGCATGAATATAAGCTAGAAAAAATCTGTATATTAATTTTGACAAATAGAAAGTGAGGGAGAGACAAAATGAATTCGAGAAAGTCTGTAAGTACAGAAGAGAGTTATGTTTTCTAGATATTTTTATAATTCTATTATACTCCAGTAAATTATGAGTTATATTTCAAAAAAAGCAACATACAAAGTAAACTTTACACATATTTTCTTGCTTACACACTGATTTTTCAAATTACTTCTGTCTAAAATTGAAAATAACTATGAAAGCAATGCTATACAAGGGAAAAACAGACAATTTTCATAGTTTAAAATATAATCTTTTTTTCTGTCCAGTGATTAGATGTTAGGTCTCCTTAAATTTAAGTTAAATGCAAACTTGCCATTTGCTGAACAATGTAGGCAGAGGGAGAGGAGAATATTTGTGGCTCACGGGAAAATAATTACAGTTATAATCCACATGCTTGCAGTTGTGATAACAGAATGCAGCTTTAAAAATATTTAGCTCTAGAATCTTAATGAGCATCAAAGCAGGGCTCAAACGTCTTTCTATTATTTTCTTATTTTCGTGTTTTGGGGTGGCATCGTGTGTCTGTCTGACTCTGCGTTTCGTTTGTTTTAATGAGGTTGTGTATCATTGTGCTTGTGTATGCGTTTCGAGTTCAGCTCTCAGTTTCCGCCCGTCTTTAGTATTATAATCGCAACTCATACTGCTTCCCTTTTAAACTGTTGTTCTATCTGGTTTAATTGCTTTCTAAACCATGTTCTTTCCACATAATTGGCCATAGTACTCAACTGAAGTAAGCCTTTTTTTTTCTCAGCTTGGTAAAAAAGAGATATTTCTTAATCCTATTATTATTAAATAATAAGTGAGCCATATGTTTTATATATCTCTCTGAAATGTATTTGCATTTTACAAATGTGGATCTTAACTTTTGAAGGTTCATTGGTCTTCAATAGAAAATAAAAACTCTAAAGTGGCGAGATAAGTATTTCTTACAACGAACTGGCAAAATAACATTTTATCATAAAACGTAGAATTTTTGGATATCAGATATTATTTCCTAAAATCAATATTTAAAACTTTAATATTACATACCAACAATACAAATACTTTTTTAGTGTTTACATATATATCATATTTACTGAAGTATAATTAACATACAAAAAGTGCATATATATTACGTGTGCAGTTTGATGACTTCAGATATAGATATCCCTCCTCCCCTTCTCCCCAGTATCCCCTTAAATTTTTAGGAAACTGCCACATTGTATTCCAATGTGGTCTTACCAATTTACATTTTTATCAGTAGTGTGTAAGTATAGGTTTTTTATAGCTGTTGTATATGGTTGATAATATTCACTTTTATTTCTATCTTGCTTGAATTTTATTTTTATTGCTGGAAGCAACCTAAGTGCCCATCAGTAAATTAGTGGATCAAAAAACTGTGGTACATTTACACAATGGAACACTACACAGCAGCAACAAAGGAGGAACTCCACCCTTCGTGACAGCTTGGACAGAACTGGAGAGTAGGCAGTAAAAGACAAATACCATAATATCTTACCTATAAGGGGAACAAAGTCTAGAAAATGAACAAACAAGCAAAATATAATGGGAGACATTGAAATTAAGAATGAACTGACAGTAACCAGAGGGAGATGGGAGACGGATAATGGGGGAAAACAGGGGAAGGGCCATCAGGGAACATGTATAAAGGATCATGGACAAAGTCAAAGGCGGTAGGTTCAAGGGTGGAAGGTGGGGATGGGTGGGGTGGGGGAGATATTGTCAGAGGAAATGGAGATAACTGTACTTGAACACATTTACAAAAATAATAAAGAACTGAGTTGAAAAATGTTCTTCCTCTTTTAAAAAAATATTTACTTATTTGTTTTTAGACAGAGGGGAAGGAAGGGAGAAACAGAGGGAGAGAAACATCAATGTGTACACACACCCTTTCTGTGGACCTGGCTTGCAACACAGGCATGTGGCCTGAATGGGAATTGGACCAGCGACCCTTTGGTTTACAGTCCTGCACTCAGTCCACTGAGCCACACCATCCAGGGCGGCTGTTTTTTTACTTTAAAATATTTAATATAGACATCACAAGATATAGTTACTCTCTATTTCATAATTACCTGTGTTGTGTTAAACTGTAAAAATATTGTACACATATAAATGCATAATGTGATACATCTCTTTTTTTTCCTGTACATCTTCTTAAAACAAGTGCATTCTTTTTTTAAACTCTGATATTGGGCATTGTTGAAAAATCTACATTTTTGGTTGTTACATTTTTTTCTCTACTCTTTCTTACATATGTAATTTATTTTATCTCTCTATAGTTTAAATGTGATTTAACTTTTAAAATTAATGTTTCAAGATATGAAATGCAGGAAATAAATTAAGAGAGGTCAGTTCTTTGAATTAAATAAAATTAACTAGGGAAAAATCATAAATCTTTCATGGTGGCTGAATACAGAGTGTTTAACTCTGTATTAATTTGTAGATGTAACTGAAAATAATGAATAATGCTTTATCCAGACCTGAATATACATTTTATGGGTAAAATAAGATTTTTCCATAGTTGCAATACAAGTCTTAAAATTTTCCATCATTTTATTTTCTTTTTCTTTTTTCTTCGAAACATTCCTGTTTTATGTCCTCTGTTACTACTTGCTCATTACATCTAGATGAACCATCTCGAGTAGAGTGATCCACTGTGCATTGGGCCTCAGCAAAAGGTGGTGACTAGGTCTTCAGAACTATCCTCTCTTAGATGTCTGTCTTTGTTTTCCCTTATATTTTGTTTCACAATGGAAATTCCTTTTCTTTTTGAATTTTTGTGAATAAAAAATCTCAGAGATTCACCTCTATTTTCCCACTTCAGATTTATAGTGAAAGGGAAATGTGAATGCTTTAGTTTAGAAACGCTAAATGCCTCTCTCTGGTTTTCTCAAATAAGTCAGGAACCATAGATGCTCCCAGCTATTGGAGAAATACATGTATTTCTCAGAGGTATAGTCTTCGGAATCACCCTGAGCTGAACAGTTGCCACCAAAGTTAACCAACATTCAAGTAACAAAAGGATTTCCCAGGGATGGATTCTCCACTCTGCTTCTCTTGCCATTGGAAGTGGTGCTCTTTCATGAGATCAAGAGAAAGCATTTCACTAGCACACACACAGAAGATTGTGGTGTGGCAAGATTTATTTGGATGGAAGGCAAGCCCTGTGCCCCATCTCTGTCCTGTCTGCCATGGAAAAAAGCCCAAACATGTCTTCAGAGAGGCCAAAACAAAAGTCATGGTGTAGAGTCACTGTGCCACATTAAAACTTAACTCAGTCCAGCCTTTCTCACCATCTGCGTAGCTTAGTTTGTGGTCCTGGTTGCAATCTGCTGCTGTTCTGTGGGTTCCAGTTTCCCTCCTGCATTTGGAGTCTGCACAACCATCAGCCACTCAGCTGCTAGGGCCACATGGATATAGAGAGAAAAGACATGAGTGCATGGGATGAGTGTGGGTCAGGCATGAGAGAGAGAGAGAGAGAGAGAGAGAGAGAGAGAGAGAACTCGTCTTTGCTCCTGGGATTATTTTAAATTGAGTTGGGGATGGATCAGGACTTTTTTCAAAATAACCCATCAACTTCCTAAGCTTTTGCAGGCTTCTAATGTGTCCACTGCCCCAGACAATTGACCTCCTTTCCGGGTTAGACTGACAGGCCTCTATGGTCAAGCACCTACCTCCTCCTGTGCCATTTGGACTTCTATTGTACATTGGCTTACCTCCCTCAGCTCCCCCAGCAATCAGTGCCGCACTGCAGAAAGGTGTCAGTCCTTAGCAGGGCAATGCTATGATCCCCTGGAGTGTGTGAAACTATGGCTTCCTGGCTAAGCAAACAGGTTCCCTTGCCCATTAGGCTCAACAATGTCCAAAACCCTTTACTTTCTTCCTTATTAATAATTAGCTAACTATCTATAGTAACACCTCTTCTAAAATGGTTCAGCTCTTTAAATTAGAAATTAAAACAATAATGCTTTCTCATGACTTTACTAATTTGTACAGATTCCTTGCTTTTCCTACAGTGTTTCCCTGAAGTACTTCAGTCCTCATTTCCCCAGTTTCTTCACCGTCACTTCGCCATCCCCACTGGCCTAAGTCAGATACTGGGTCTGTTCAGATGCCTCACATTCTCCCCATTCTTACTTTGTGTTTCTCTTTTTAATATGGCATACAGTTTATATTGTAAATTATCGGCCATTTATTTCTTTATTCACTACCCTTGGTAGATCATGAGTCAAGTCCTACTTGTTTCAGTTTCTATACCTTGCACGGAAAGCCGGCAAGAATAAACATTAAAAAGATGAATGAATGAACATTTATTGAGTAATATTTTTGTACACAAATAAGTGTTATTAGATCAGAAATTCACCAATACTTAATATAACATACTTTTAAAAAACAAAATTAAGTTTAAACAATTATCTAAGAGAAACAAGTAATTATGGTAAATACATTCAAACATGTATCGTGTCTTCCTGGATTAGTTTTCGTGAATGAGAGATTGATTTGAAACCTTCTTAAAGAGGTTCTCCCATCCATTTAAAAAATGAAAGTGTGACTAAAAATTGCCCCTGTGTATGATGTAAAGTTATAGACCAAATGATTTATTAAAATAGGCTCTCATCAGATGCCATATATTGTCTCCTCAGATTGCTTATTAATCATCATGATAGAATTTGTAATATACATGAAAAATAAGAAAAAATAAGTGCCATACCTCTAACATACCTCTAACATACTAAATCTAAGTAGGTCTAAAACTGAACTTTTCAAATACAATTTCAACTACAATTATCAGGAAATTTTCTGTTAAAAAAAGAGCATGGTCACTTCTGTTTCATTCCTCATAGTAATAGAATTGTAACTCAGGAAATTAATCTATAAAAATATTATTTTGGATATTATATAAAACCTAAAACCAAGTATAATATTTTCAAATGTTTGTTGAAAGGTATTTATTAAAAGTGGTCACTCTATAAACACTGTCAATTAAATTGTAAAATATGGTATGAAGATAAAATAAATACGACAAAATTGGATAACCTTTCATGTGTACATTTTAATATAATGTGTATAGTATTTTATATCTATCATCTATCTAGCTAACATATAACACTTTGTTTTAAACAAATTTTTACAATCCTTGAACTTGCTACATCTTGCCTTTAAAAAATGGGGCATACTCTTTAAAAGGTGTTATACTATGAATAGGACCGGTTTTTGGTCTCCACTCTCATTTAGCAGCAACCAATGCATTTAATAGCTGTAGTGAAAGAGCCTTGATGAGTGTGGCTCAGTTCGTTGGGTCTCAGGAAGTGAAAAGTTTCCGGTTCTGTTCGCATTCGGAGCACATCCTGGGTTGTGGGTGGTCCCTGTCTGGGTCTCGTGAGAGAGGCGATCCGTCCAAGTTTCTCTCACACACTGATGTTTCTCTCCCTCTTTCTCCCTCCCTTCCCTGCTCTGTAAACATAAATAAATAAAACCTTTAAAAAATAGGTAAGCAACGTATGTGATAAAAACTTATTTCATAATAAATGATGCTAGTCAGAAAGTAAAGTTTATGTAAAAATGACACAGTCTGAATTCCCTGATTGAGATATCATATGTAAGTTAAAGTATTTAAAACTTGGTTTTAAAATACACTTTGTTGTGCGCATTAGTTTGCCGCAACCGTCTGGTCCTTCTTCCTCTGGGAACACAACGAGATGCTACTTCTCCACCTGCCTGAGGTCAGATGAGGCCACACTACTTTGGCAATGACATGTAAAAACAGTGGCCTGTGACCTGTTCTGCCACAAGCTTTAAGGTAGAATATATCCTCTAATTTTCTCTCCTCTCTGCCATGGTGACCATTAATGGCACGGATAGTGACTGCTTCATTCACAGGTGCCTCTGGTAAGGATCATGCGGACCCCCCAACAAGAATGAGAACTGTAACGTTTATCTTTGCTATCAGAGTGGAGAGAAACGTGTTATGATATTACACATTCCCTTCATTGACTTCGAAATAAATTTTTATACTGAAATAAAACATATTCTCATAGTATATAGTTGTAACACAATACTTGTGCCAGGACTAAAAATCAAAATGGTATGTTTGTACATTTATGAAACAAGGTCTTATTTATATTTATAACACGAAGGATAATATGTAAGTTTAGATACGAAGGTCTTACAATTTGCTTAAATCTTGAAGTGTATAAAATATTTATCCATTGATTCACTGGTTCAAAGTATTTATTAATTTTATATGAGCTAATATGTATAAAGCACTTCACACAAGGTTTACAACATATAAGAGCTATGCAAGTATGAGCTGTTATTAATATTTTCCACTTGATAACTACAAATAAACCCAATTTAGATTTCAGCCTGTGTGAGAGCAGGGAGGATACTGATGAGGTTCCCCTTCTGCAAGGCTCACTCCCCTTGTGTGTGCTGAGTAGGATGGAAGAGGGTGAAGGCCTGGGAGAGAGACAGAATCAAAGGTTACTACGGAAGCTCCGAGAAAGTAGTACCAAAGTGGTAAGAAGTCAAGTTTTGTTATAGCTGGCAGATAAAACCAACAACATCTGCTGATGGACTGAAGGTAGAAAAAGAAAAGGGAAAAGAAAGGAATCACAGATATTCATTAAGTGAGATGGGAAACACTGCAAGAGCAAAGGGCTTGACAGAAAAATATCAGCTTGTACTAACTGCTTCCTTAATCACTTTTCTGGTTGATACACTAATTACAGACGTAGTTTCAGTGACCGGATGAATAGAGCATGTTGTCTTGGCCAAAATGAACATTTGCTGGATCAGGAACAGGAAGCTGCTGTGGACGATCTTTTGATATGACTCTCACCTGTCTCTCCAAGTCTCACCAACCCGTCTCACTAACCACCCAGGACACAGACAAATCTGCTTCGTCCCTCTTTGTGCAAATTCACTTCCTGCTGACATTCGATGTCCTGACTAAGTAAAGATCATTTTGGAGAGTTCTTCTTGAATTCATTGTCCACCTGTTTTTTTCGGATGGGGACACAAGCCTGCAGTGTCCGCAGCATTATGGATGAGACAAAATAAATTCACACAGACTACCAAGTCCTAGGGAGGAAAAGGGATGGCACCACTTCTCTCTTAAGGGGAGAGCAAGCCTCTCTGCCACGCCCTCAAGAGGTGGGCACCACGACCCTTGCCTTAACAAGCGTTTATTGGTATAGGTAAAATTCATTAATCATTATCAGGCAGTAAGGATCAAACAATAGATAACATACAAAGAACTCCAAGGGCCTATTTTGAGTCAGGGTTAGAGAGCTAAATGGCCATAAAACTTCAGAGAACAAACTCACTTTCTGCTTGAGCCCTTATCATTTAATTGAGAGCATTCTAAACAAAGCAGGTTTCACAGGATTTTACATATTCTTTCTTAGGTCTGATTGCCCTAGGGGACCCGCCCTTTCCAGCACAGGGCTGCACCCACCACTGGCATTGTTTCAAGCTTAAGGCATTGTCTCAGGCTTAAATCAGGCAGGGGCAGTAAGGCATCCAAGAGATTAGGCGACTTCTTGCAGACAGAATGAAAACTCAAACTATGTCAAAGTCAAGGGGCGAGGGTCCATCACCCTTTTTCTGTAGCTCCCCAAGTCCTTCCCTGGGGCCTCCACATGATTGTGGCTGTCTTAGGTCATCCCTCCTTGGGGAATCTTACCCGTCATTGGCTAACCAACCAAGCACTGGGGGCCAGGCAGGGTGAAGTAAAAGGAGAGAGTGGCCCCCCTACCAGGGAGATAAGCTTTGTCTCCTCAGTAGCTTATGGTCTGAAGGTCACTCAGCCTTAACCATGGTGGGGTTACGGCTTCTGAAACCAGGCAAGGCAGTTCCCAACATTTTTCAACTGTAGTTTACTTTTTATAATGAATTAATTCTAGACGAATCAAGTATTTAACGTACATGAATAAAGCAACAGATATATTGAATGAAAATTATATAACTGAATAATTCTCTTAGCTTTGAAGATGGAGGATATAACAGCATATAAAGAAGATGAGTAATTTTTGAGTTTAGAATTTATTTAAAAAAAATCTTTGTATCCTAAATTTCTGCTGGCTCTCATAGTGGGTCTCTGTTCTCTTCTATGATTATTTTAGAAAATCTCCATAGGTCAAGGCTGTAATCTACAGCCATCATTTAATAGCTATTTATCCCTATCTACTTTCTACAACATATTAAATGCATTTTTAATTGCCACAACTCACTATGAGAGTTTAATATTTATGCAATGGCTAGAATTTCTGATGGATCCCAAATATCCTCTGAGCCCAGAGAAGTGTTGCATTCCAATCAAAAGTGTGGACAAGATTTTGCTTCACACTCTTGCCTACACACACATCACTAATGCCTCAGAGTAATTCTGCTTAT